CTCAACTACATTAGAACCTAGGAAGAGAAAATGAAGAGGCCAGCTGACTTTACTGAAAAGATTTTAGAAGTTTTTGAATCAGAATACTTTTATTTACACATTTTAAAAAATTCAAACACACTCAGAAAACAATTGAAAGATTGAAAAGGTTTTTTGTTTTGTTGTCTTGGTTGTTTTCTTGGTATTTTTAGTACCAATACTTAAGTTTAACTTCCAGTACTTGAGTTTAATTTTTTAAATTATTGAGTAATCTCTGCTGTTTTTTGGAATATATAATTTGAGTGGTTCTAATTATCTACTCCATTTATGCTAAATTTCCCCAAAACTGAAATTCAGAAAAGACCAGACAAATAATGTTCTTGAATGGTGCTCCTGTCTAGGGGCCAAGTCTAAAATTCAGAAACTAAATGATTTTCACTTTTCCAGAGGGGGAAAAAAACTGCAAAAGCAGTGAAAGATAGTCATGTGATTTTTACAACATTTGTTCCCAACTCAGGTCAAAACCTAAATTAGGTTCTATAGGGATATATTCTACAAAACAATCTTGGACATTATTGCAGAGTGAATGAAAGCCATAGTGACTAGCACCACATCCTCCTAACCTGTTTATCTCTTTCAAACTTTTAACTGACTTGGAACAAGTATGATGGTAGCTGAGAGAACTTGGCTTCCTATTTTTCCATGAATCAAGTAGTAATCTTTAGTGCTTCTGATTTCAGTGGAAGTTATCATCATAATAAATACTAGCTTACTTTTTGGTAAGGCTGTCCTGAAAATATTTGGTTGTTTGGTGAACTTTTAGTGAAAAGGAAATGTGGGAACTGTGAAAAACAAAAGTTGTCTATAAAGCTTTAAAAGAGATCAAGATAAAATTCAGTGGAGATTATTGTCCTTGTAGTTTTACTCAAGTACCAGTTATAATGTAAATACAGGCTATCCTTCATTTGCCAAATCTTGCCATTTCTACATCTAAACACCTCTCTATCATTTTTCTCTACTCAACCACTTACTTGCAGCCATCTCTTAATTGATCTCCCAAATCTCTCCCTAATCAAGTCCATCCTCTGCTCCCAAAGTGATTTTTCCATGCCATTTCCCCTACTTAATAAATTCTGTTAGCTCTCCACCACTTTTAGGATAAAATATAAATTGTTTTATTAAGCTTATAAAGCCTTTCACAACCTAATCCTAACCTAATTATACTTTATTCTCCTCCCTAACTCATCCACCCCAGCTCCACCCTCCAGTCTTCAGTATAGCCAAACTGTTTTTTGCTCTTCACATACCACACTCCATTAATTGTCCAGATGCTTTCACTCTGACCATCTCCCATGCCTGGAATTTACTACCTCACTACATCTGCTTCATAGCATCCGTTCTTCTTCAAGATGCAATTCAGGAATGACATTCTACATGAAACCTTTCCCCCTGCTTTAGTACTTTGTGTTTAAATACTTTGTTTTATTGAATATATATTTATTCTATCTCTCTGTCTCTCTTTCACTCTGTGTGTATACACACACGCATACACATACATACCCTTATAATAATGGAGTTAGCATGTAAGTGCCTTAAAAATAAGAATTATTTCATTCTTTTTCATTCTTTGTATTTAAATGCATGGTGTCTAGTTCATAGAACAAGTATATAGTATGTGTTTAATTTATTGGTTGATTGGAAAACATTTGACAGTTGTAGTGTATCATAGACTGAATTTGAGATGGTAATGTCTTGCTAATTATTTTTAAAGCATTTTAAAATATAGTATTGTGGTATCTCTATCAGGGCATAAAATAATCTTTTTTTTAGACTTCAGTTAGAATAAAACTAAACGTGTATAAGGGTAATGTGGTGTTTGTTTTTTTTTAAGGATCCTGAAAAGCTAAGGGGTTCAGGAAATTGCAGTAGAAACAATAAACAAAATAAAAATGGGCTCTTTTGAGAAAGATTAAGATGTCTAGGGTGATTTTGTGAGAAAAGAAGGGTAGAGGAAAATTTAATGACAAAAGCAACAAAGAGAAAGTTAGGCACTCCGTAGTGAACTGAACATAGAGTAGTTATATTAAATTAGAATGAAAAGATTCATTGATTGTGAATGATTAAATACATAATCACCCAGAAACTTCAGCATCTTTTCATGCTTTTCAAAGCTGAGATTGGGAACTTTCAATCATCAGGCATTTATTAAGCATCTACCATGTGTTATTCACTATGCTGGGTGCTATATTCTGTGGGGGAGGCAGGAAGTACATATATAAAAATAAGTATTTTTTTTTATCTTCATCTAGACCTGTAATTTCATTGCTGTATCATTTCTGTAAGGAACTCTCAGTGAGGAAACTTACTTTATCAATCTTTGTCAGCAAGTGCTCTGCAATTTTTAGTTTTAGAGAATTGCCTAGGGCACTGAGAAGTTAAACAGTTTGTTTAGTTTACCAGGTACAGTATGTGGTAACAGGTGATTTCCGAAAGCGCAAGTCTTCCTGAATCTAAAGCCAATCCCTAATTAACTATGCCATGTTGCCTGTCATACAAAATATAAATGAAATAAGTACAAGTTAATTCGAGTTGTGAAGTCATTAGGAACTGGGGGCAGGGCAATCAGGAAAGGACTCATGTTGTTTGAACTAAGCCTGGAAGGAATCTAGGGATTCTAAGGGGGGTGAGGAATGATGAAGGGATGCCTTCCAGGCATTGAGGTTTAGCTGCTGCCAAAGAATACATTAATATATCCTGATTTTCATTTATTTATTTTTAGTTAATATATTCTGTCTCTAGATTTATTTTCTTTTATTGAGCTGTCATTTGGATCTTTTAGTGAGGAGAAAATTCTTCATGAGTCAGTCAGTCACTCAGCATTAAGCACCTGTAGGTCAGTCTCTGCTAAGCACTCACAATAAAAAGAAGGGCAAAAGAAAGTCCTTGCTCTCAGGGAGCTCACAATCTAATGGTTGAGACAACATTCAAATAATTATATACAAAAATCTATGTATACAACACAAATTGGAGAATATCCACGGAGGGAAGGCATTAGCATTGAGGGAAGGTAGGAAAGGCTTCTTGCTGAAGGTAGAACTTTAGCTGAGACTTCTTGAAGGAAGTTAGGAGATGAGGAAGAAGAGAATTCCACTTAGGAAAAAGAGCCAGCAAAAATGTCCAGAGTTGGAGAATGGAGGAGAATCTTAAGCAAGGAGGCTATTATTACTTTATTGGAGGGAATGTATAAGGAGTAAAAAGACTAGAAAGGTAGGAAGGCACCAGGTTAAAAGCCAAATATGGGATTTTATGTTTTATTCTAGAGGCAATAGAAAGCCCTAGAATTTATTAATAGAGATAGGGATGAGATGATCAGACTTGTAGTTTAGGGAAATTATTTTGACACCTAAATGGAGATTGGACTATAGGTAGAGAAAGACTTGAGGCAGGGAGATCAACTAGCAAGCAATTACATGGGTGAGCTGTTACAAAGGCAGGAATGACAGGACTTGGTAACTGACTGTATATGGGGCAGAGAGAGAAAATGAGATGTTTAGGATGGTACCTGGATTACAAGCCTATATGTCTGGGAGGAGGGTAGTACGTTTGACCGTTTTAGGGAAGTTAAGAAAAGCAGAGAGTTTTGAAGAAAAGACACTAAGTTCAGTTTTGATCATGTTGAGTTTATAATGTTTATGAGACATCCAGTACAAGATGTTTAATAGTCAATAGAAGAAATGAGACTGTTGGTCAGGAGAGAGATGAAGGCTAGACAAATAATTCTAAGAATCATCTGCATAGAGATGATAGTTGAAACCAGGGAAGTTGATGAGATCACCAAATGAAATAGTATAAAGGGACAAGAAGAGGTTCCAGGACAGAGCCTTGGAAGATACTATGGTTAACGGACTGTGACCTTTTTTATAAGCATTTATTAAATGCCTACTATGTGTCAAGCACTGCCAAGTGCTTTACAAATGTTATCTCATTGGATCCTCACAACCCTCTGATGGAGCTACTTTTATTATCCTGTTTTATTATCTCATTTTACAGTTGAGACTGAGGTTGGATGAAGATCTAGCAAAGGAGACAGAGAATGAAGAGTCAGAAATATAGGAGGAGAACCAGTACAGTATCAAGGATAAAAGAGTGATCGGTAGTGTTAAAGGCTGCAGACAGGTTGGAAAGAATGAGGATTGAGTATATCCTTGATGCAAGTAGTTTCTTGTCTTTAGACTCGTGTGTTCTGTAATGTATTTGTAAATTCAAGAGAAGTCTAGAGCGTATTGCGAAAATTAAGTTTTTGTAGTCCTGATTAGCTTTTTGTTGATGATGGCAGTATGTACTTCTGTACCAAATCCACACCAGAATTACTGATCATTTATATGCTATCAATCAATAAGATAATGTTGAGTGCATACTTTGCAGAATTTATTTACTCATTTTTGATGTGGTATGTGTAGATGGTACCTGGTAACGTTGAAAGGAACTGAGAATTGCCTGAGGAGAAAAATACAATTTGGGATAATTGATTTATTATGGAATCAGTGTTCTTTTTTTATTTTTGGTGCTTTTTAAACTTTTTTTGGCTTACAGAATTTGTTTGTTACCAGATCCTGAGGGTTTTTCCTATTTCATAGAACCTATCCCTTCCCTACCCACCCCCCATTCCCAAATCTATTTGTCAGTTTGGGTTCTTTATTGTGATTATTGTGACCCTTCTACTACCAGCAAATTAGTAAGTGCCAGTTCACAAAAGCATACATGGAAAATCTTTAAAAATTGAAATGTATTGTGGCTGGGAAGTGTCCCAATGGTAAATAAGCATTTCTAATATTTTTTTTTCTTCAAGAGCATTATCTTGTGGAATTTACAGTATGAGGCTTAAACTTGACTCACACTTTAATATAACAACATCTGTTTTTTCTTTTCTCTGCCAAAAAAATTATACTAGTCTATTCAAACATTTGTCTTTTGTTTTAAGTCTATTAACCTTTGCTTCCAATTATTTCATTTTCTTTTAGTTGCTTTTCCTCATCTTCCTGGTTCTGCTCCTTCATGGCCTAGTCTTGTCGACACCACCAAGCAGTGGGACTACTATGCCAGGAGAGAGAAAGATAGAGAGCGAGAGAGAGAACGAGACCGAGAAAGAGATCGCGACCGTGATAGGGAAAGAGAACGTACCAGAGAGAGAGAGAGAGAACGCGATCACAGCCCAACACCAAGTGTATTCAACAGGTTTGTTGAGTATTCCTTAATTTATTCCTAATGTTAGACATACATCAGAGTTTAAATCCAAATAAACAGCTAGAAGTTTTGGAGGAAGAGTGAAAATTCCCAATGGAAAAACTTTAAAACATGCATTAAAAATTACTTGCAAAAGGTTTTCAGGACAATCAAACTATTATAACTGTTCAAGAAGTATGAAAGAGATGCCTCTTTACCCAAGAATAGTGGTCATAGTGTTATCTTTCAAAAGGGAAAAAGAATAACACTGGAAATCTTAAGTCTTGTTTACTTCCAGTACCTAGAAATTATAACATCAAGTAGCCATCGCCTTTATTCATTCAAGCATTTATTAAGTACCTATGGTTAAGCACCGATCTACATACCAAGGTTACACAGACAAAAATAGAGTAGTCACTGCATTTAAGGAACTTGCATTCTGGTGGGGGTGGGGGTGGGGGCAGGGATGGGGGCTGGAAATAATATATATGCAGGTGAGTATATACAAAATGTATTTCAAGGGGAAGAACATTAGAGACAGCAGGAGTCAGTTCCTATTTCTTTTGAAGGCACCACCACCATCATCTAGCTTTATAGTCTTCCAGTATCATCATTGATAACTTTGTCCCCCATCATCTATAACCATTGGTGTGAAGTTGTATCACTCTCCACAACATCTCTCATGTCCATCCTGTTTTCTCCCACATGTCATCTGCTGCAGTTCACCATTGCTGTTGCCTTCAGTGTACTTTTTCTCTAATTTGCCATCTACATAACTGCCGAAATCATCTTCCAGGGCACAGGCCTAACTATGCAATGCCTCAAAATGCTCAAAACCATCAGTTTTGATGGCCTACAGGATAAAATATAAACACCTTCACCTCTCACATAAGGCTCCCACTTATTCTTATGCTTTTTTCAATACTGTAACCCCCATTACAAACTTTACATTGCACCATTTTCTGAACTCAGTCTATCCCTGGCTTTTGTGCATCTGTATAAGCTATTTCCCGTGCCTTGAATTCACTTCCTTTTCATTTCTCCTTCTCATAATCCTCATCTTTAAAGCCTCGATTTGAGTATCTGTAGTATACAAGGTATTATTCTAGCATCATCAGTGACAATTTTTTTTAAAGTGGAATAAGCTCATAATAGTATCAATCTGGTTTTTTTTTTTAAATAAATTTTATTGCTGTCCTTTATTTCTATATCACCTCTGTATCTTCCTGAATCCTTAACATTTTCCCTTCCCAGAGAGTCATTTCATATAACAAAAAACTAAGAAAAAAAAAACAATCAGAAAAATTTATCAGTCCCTAAAAAAACTCTGAAAACATATGCAATATTCCATGTCTACAGACCTCTCACTTATGCAAGGGAGCGGAGGGTGATGTCTTTTCATATCTCTTCTTAGTGACCATGCTTGTTCTTTGTAATTTTGTAATATTCATTGTCAGTTATTTTGTGGTAATGGTTCTTTGCATTTACATTGTTGTTGTTGTGTATATTGTTTTCTTGGCTCTGCTTGCTTTACTCTGCATTAGTTTATGTGTTTTCCCATGCTTCTCTGTAGTCATCTTTTCTTATAGCTCAATATTATTCCATTACATTCCCATCCTACAATTTGTTTAGCCATTCTCTAGTCAGTGGGTATCTATTTTGCTTTCATTTCTTTGCCACTACAAGAAGTGTGGCTATAAATGTTTTGTTCTATATGGAGACTTTCTTTTTTATCATTCACCCACTTGGTGTTCATTTTTTAGTGCTGGAATCTCTGGAATAAAGGGTATAGATATTTTAGTATCTTCATTTGCATAATTCCAAATTGCTTTACCAAATGGTCATACTGATCTGGGATACTTTTTAAAGGGGGCTGTGGAAGAGTGAAATATTTTCTGGTAGGTGCATAGCAAGTTTATCTAACGTGCCAGGTAAGAGAATAAAATAGAAAGAGAAATATTTGCATTTTTGTGAATCAGAAATTTTGTTGGCCTTAACTATTTTTTCTGTAAGAAATCTGAAACAGAATATTTGTCTTCTTTTTGGTATAAGAACTGCTGTCCATGTATTACTTTGGAACAATGGGAGATGCTCAGAGAGCAATTTTCAGGGGCTGTCCATTTTTTGTTTGTATTGTTATTGAAATAATTTTATTTTAAAGTTTTTTTGTTTTTAACATTCTTCTTAAACTGAACTCCAAATTCCCTTCCTCCTTTCTTCCCCTCTCCCAGCCACTGAGAAGGCAGACAATATGATATCAATTATACATGTGAAATTATGCAGAACATTTCCATATTAGCCAAATCCCTCCTTCCTCTCTCCCCCTCCCAAAAAAAGAGATGAGAAAATTATACTTCAGTTTACACTCAGAGTTCATCAGTTCTCTCTCTGGAGGTGGAGGATGGCATTTTTTCACAATGAGTCCTTTGGAATTGTCTTGTATTGGGGCAGCTAGGTGGTGCAGTGGATAGAGAACCGGCCCTAAAGTCAGGAGGACCTGAGTTCAAATCCGGCCTCAGACCCAACACTTGACCCATACTAGCTGTGTGACCTTGGGCAAGTCACTTAACCCCAATTGCCTCACTAAAGGGAAAAAAAAAAGGAATTGTCTTGTATTATTGTATTGATCAGAGTAGTCAAGTCTTTCACAGTTAATCATCATTACAGAGTTACTAGGACTATGCACAATGATCTTTTGGTTCTTCTCACTTCACTTTGCATGAGTTCATATAGGTCTTGCCATGTTTTTTCAGAAACCACACCACTCTTCATTTCTTATAGCATAATAATACTCCATCACAATCATATGCCACTACTTGTTCAGTCATTCCCCAATTGATGAACATCCCTTTGATTTCCAGTTCTTTGCCACCACAAAAAGAGCTGCTATAAATACTTTTGTACATATAGGTCCTTTTCCTTTTTCTTTGATCTCTTTGGGATACAGACCTAGTGGTGGTATTGCTGGGTCAGAGGATGTGCACAGTTTTGTAGCCCTTTGGGCCTAGTTCCAGACTGATCTCCAGAATGGTTGGATGAGTTCCCTACTCCACCAGCAGTTCGTTTGTGTTCCTATTTTTCCCTCATCCCCTGTAGCATTTGTCGTTTCTGATAGGTATGAGGCAGTACCTCAGAGCTGTTTTAATTTGCCTTTCTCTAATCAATAGTAATTTAAAGCATTTTTTTCATATGACTGTAGCTTTGATTTCTTCTTCTGAAAATTGCCTGTTCATATCCTCTGACCATTTATCAGTTGGGGAATGGCTCTAATTTTTTCTAAATTTGACTGTGTTCTATACTCAATATATGTTTAAGAAATGAGGCCTTTATCAGAGAAATTTGATGTGAAATTTTTATATTCATCTATATTACTTTTTAGCAAAATGTTTCCCTGATTATTATCTCTTTTAAATTTATTTTTGCTTTTGCTTTTGCTTTGTCTGAGATCATGATTGCTACCCCTGCCTTTTTTTTATTGGTCAGCTGAAGCATATTCGATTCTGCTCCAACCCTTTATTTTAACTCTGTATATCTTTCTGTTTCAAGTATGTTTCTTGTAAACAGCATATTGTTGGATTCTGATTTCTAATCCATTTTGTTGTTTCCATTTTATGAGTGAGTTCATGCCATTCACATTCTACAGTTAAAATTACTGTGTATTTCCCTCTATCTCATTTTCTTTTATCTTTATTCTCTCTTTTTATCCTGTCTTTCCTCAAAAATCTGTTTTGCTTCTGCCCCTACCTCCCTTAATCTTTCTTCCTTTTTATCACACACTTTCCCCTTTTCTCTTATCCCCACCCCCCTTTTCTTTCCCTGTTGGGTAAGTTACATTTCTATATCCAGCTGAGAGAGAGAGAACATTCTTCTCTCTTTGAACCAATTGAGTGAGAGTGAGGGTCAAGCATTGCCAGCCACCCCCACCTCCCATTTCCCACTCCACTGTAAAAGCTCTTCCTTATGTGCCTCTTTTATGGGAGAAAAATTTCCCTATTCTACGGACTCTTCCTTCTCCCAGTGCATTCCTCTTTTTCAACCATTCATTTTTTTTGATCATTCTAACATAATTGACTCACATCCATGCCCTCTGTATATATAAAATCCTTTAAACTGCTGTAATAATAATAGTTTCGTAGGAATGCAAGGAATTTAATTTTGAGACCCTTATAATTACTCTTTCATGTTTACCTTTTTAAGCTTCTTTTTAGTCTTGTGTTTGAACATCACATCTTCTGTTCAGCTCTTGTCTTTTTATCAGGGGTGCTTGATAGTCTATTATTTCATCAAATTTCCATTTTCCCCCCTGAAGGATTATACTTATTTTTGCTAGGTAAATTATTTTTGGTTGTAATCCTGGCTCCTTTGCCTTCAGAAATATCACATTCTAAGACCTCTGCTTCTTTAATGTGGATGCTGCTAGATCTTGTGTGAGCTTGACTATGGCTCCATGATACTTGAATTATTTCTTCATGGCTGCTTGCAATATTTTCTCCTTGACCTGGGAACTCTGGAATTTGGCTATAATATTCCTGAGAGTTCTCATTTTGGGATCTCTTTCAGGAGGTGATCAGTGGATTCTTTTCATTTCTATGTTACCCTCTGGGTCTAAGATATCAGAGCAATTTTCCTTGATAATTTCTTGAAAAATGATGTCTAGCCCTTTCTTTGTGGCTTTCAGGTAGTTCAATAATTCTTAAGTTCTATCTCCTTCATCTGTTTTCTAGGTCAGTTTTTCAAGTAAGATAGCTCATATTTCCTCCTATTTATTTTTCATTCTTTTGACTCTGTTTTATTGGCTCTTGATGTTTCATGGAGTCATTAGCTTCAATTTTCCCAATTTTGATTTTTAAGGAATTATTTTCTTTAGTCATATTTTGTGCTTCTTTTTTTCCATTTGGTCAGTTTTGTTTTTTAAGGAGTTTTTTTCATCAGTAAAATTTTGTGACTCCTTTCCCATTTGTCCTATTCTGCTTTTTAAAGAATTTTTTCCTTCAGTAAATTTTTGTGCCTTT